TTTTTGTTTTTAACTCACATAGATTTCCTATTTCTTGTCCCTCATGTGCTCTCATATCTTGGATTCCTTATTGTGACTTAAATTCGGATTTCGCACATCGATTCTCATGAGTCTTTATGCTGCTTTAATTTGATGGAGTAGAAATACAAAGTAAATTTTTTTTTGAAAATTGAAGTAGATATGATTAATTATTTTTTCACCCCATTTTATATAATCCAGTTTCTAATACAGCAGACTTGAAGAAGAAAAAGAACATAAAATGCATTATATGTCTTAAATTACCAAAAAAATTATATATTTACAGAAAAATTCACACTAATACTCCCGAAATCGCATAAGTGTAAACAAATACTTCGAGATTCCTTTTATGATACTAATGTTCCAAAAATTTTCATATATTCACATCATTGCTTTGAGAATTGATATATGTTTACTTCTGTGCTCCAAATGTTGGGGTACTGATGTAAACACATATCGATTCTGAGAGAACCGATATAAATAAAAAAAATTGGGAGCATTGATGTAATTTATTAAATTTTAGAGTACTTATATAAACTCGTATAATCTTGAGAATATTGGTATGAATTTTTTCTATGTTTAATTCACTTAAAATAAAATATATGTCAAAAAACGAGCAAACGTCCTAGTTTTTCATGCAATTCTTCCTATAACTCACCTTTTCTCTTTCTCCTAATTTGATGTAAAGAGTATCTTTCTTACAACTATTGGGAAAATCACCTCAATTTTTCTAGTGGAAGCAATTAATACTAAACACGACAACAAGCAATCAATCAAATAATAAACGAACACCAAAATTTAACGTGGGAACCCCAAATCGGGAAAAAAACCACGAAGCCTTCCACTAATCACCAAGAAAATCAATTGGTACATCAAGAATCCTCTCTAAATCAATTAGAGGTATACACAATCATCAAGCAACAACTTGGAACACCAAACAACAATAATCTTCACTCAAAAGTGAGAAATCCACAATAAAAATGCAGTAGTAAACAGAGGTGATTTTACCGACATCGAGAGGTCAAAACAACAATCCCACTATTGGATATGAGGAACAACATACTGAAATTTCATCTCAATCGGAGCTCGATTGGTCATCGATCGGAGCACAAAACCACGCTGCACCTCTCTTTTTCTTCCTTCTTCCTTCTCTCGGTTTCACCGGTTTCACCCCATTTCTTCTCTCTGTTTTTTATGCTGTGCCGCCTTTCTGCCGGTGAGAAGCCAAAACAAAGAAAAGGCTTTCCTTTTCAAAAAGTGGTAGCCCCACACTTTGACAAATTCCCTTCCTTTATTTATTTTATAATAATAATAATAATAATAATAATAATAATAATAATAATAAACATTATTATTACTCCGTATTACTATTATTATTATTATTATTATTATTATTATACTAATCCACCTCTAAACTAATTACATTTTTAACACTAACACTATGTTTGGTTCAAGGAATTTAGAAAGAAAAGAAAATGATTTTTTCCCATTTTCCTCGCCAAAATGGGAGGAACTTGGTTTTCCCTCCTCCTAGTACACATTCTGTCTACTCATTTTACTTTTCCTTCTATTTTTGTTTTTTTCCTCTTTAACCAAACAAGAAAAACTGTTTTTCATCTCATTTTTTTCCTTTTTCCTTTCAAATTCCTTGAACCAAACATAGTGTAAATGTATTACTCCCTCCGTCCTAATTCTTTCTTCCCAGTTTGACTTTTCCCCATTTTTAATTTTTGGCTTTGACTTCAAATTTTACCCTCCTTAAAAAAGATTTTTTGAAATTTTTTTTTGCAATCATTCAAAATATAGAGCTAGAAGATAATTGGTGTAAATACATGAGGGTATTAATGTCATTTGCCATCTTTTTTTCTAATGGGAAGGTAGTTTTAGGACGGAGAAAAAGGGGAAGTGGGAAAATAGTTTTAGGACAGAGGGAGTATTTAGGAACTCCTTCATTTAAGAGGGATACCCCAACAACAACTTACCCTTTTCTCCTGCTGTTCATTTGTGTATAGGGTACTTTGTTTTTTGTTTGTCTGTTAGATGACTTACATCTTATTCTCATTGCAAGTAATAGGTCGTCCGGTCTCCATAACTTCCAATCCCAACGGCTACCTGCCTGTGTAACACGTCCACACGTCGTCCGGTCTCCATAACAGGTCGTTCGGTCTTCGTACGGAGTACTCAATAACTACGTGTTTTTTCAAATTAATCCCCAAGATGAATTAGTTACTGAGATTGTACTCGTTAACTGAAAATAATACCCAGTTTAGCCGCCCCAACTAACAGTCATCAAAACAGTGTCAAAACAACATAACATTTGATAAATATGGACTAAACATGAAAACCTCAATTTTATAAAGGACTATTTAAAGAATTTACTCTTAAAACTTATACTAATCTTTCAAATTGATTATATATAATTGCATATTTTTTAAACTAATCATTTTCAATGTAAAAACTCATTTAATATGAAAAACCGAAGCAGAATTTTTTCCTTTTAAATGATTCACGGTGTTTGAGCAAAGTCTGAAGACCATTTCTTATCAAATTTTATTTCGAAAGTTGACTAGTTTGGAAAAAAATTCGATTAGAAATAATCATTTTGGAAAATCATTTACTATAATATTTGAGAGTAGATGGCCTAGAATTTTGTCACATGGCAATTGAAGAGCTATATTATTAAGACACGTCACAATACACACGTCTGATTCTTAGAGGAAACAGAGAAAGACTTTCCATCGAAAAAGAAGCCCGTCTTCTTCGCTTCTCCACGCGAAAATCTTCATCTCATCAACCCATGGCTGATTCTTCTCCAAAAATATCTCAGATTTTCCGCTTGATTTCTTCACCGAAGGAAAGGAGTTGTATAGCCAAAGGAAAGTGTGCAATTTCGTGGAGAAATGTATTTCGGATCCGAAATTCTCAAAGCTTCAAAACAAGGTATGTTTCCAAAAATCATATGCATCAATTATTCAAGAATCAAGAAGAATTTATTTTACATCGTTGCCAGCTCTTAATCTCTGTCCTGTAGATCCAAATTTTTTCAGATCCTATTCCCAAATTATTGTTTCGCCAGCCGGCTATGGCACCGTCTGAGCTTGAGGAACCTTCATGAAGAAAGCCGTTTGTTACGCGGTCGTAATCCCAAAACGAAATTTTGGGGGAATTTCTCTTTTTCCTTTTGCAAACATCGATTCTGATTTGATAATATTGGCCGGCAAACTTCCTTTTTCCTTTTGCAAAAGGAATTCTCTCATTGATAATAAAAGGAATTTCTCTTTTTCCTTTTGCAAACTTTGGGCGACAAAATTCCCTCATCTGCAAAATCGGGTAATGATCTCCGATTGTGATTGATAAAATTGATATCTATTGATGAACAATTTCTCTTTTTCCTTTTGCAAACATCAATTTTGTAGGAGTAATGGATAACGATGACTGTGTGATAGATTGACGAAATAAGTGAGTATGCTATTTTTTATATATTCCTTTTTAATCATGCTTTATGGGGTGATTTATGAAATATATTCATGGAGGCAGGTGTCCATGGCAACGAGGGTGGTAAGACGGATGGTCACAGTTTCAGGCGATGACAGTGCAGGGTTGATATGTACTTTTGATCATCTTCACAGGTTTTCTCTACAATTTCATAAACTTAATTTAATTTATAGGGTTGGGAGAGAAATTTTCACCCCAACATTACAAAAGTTATTTACACATAGGAGGTCACAGTTTGTAGTGTGTTTTTTGCTTTTCTACTTTGTTTTAGTTATACTGTGTTATTGTACACCCTCAAGGTCCCAAGCAGGTCCCATCTCTTTTCAGTTTGTAGATTTGCACGGCAAAAGAAGAGTCACCACCTGTTCGATGAAATGTCTTAGTGAGTTCTGTGAACGGAACTCCAACAAGTTATGATGAACAAAAAACAACCGTAGCCCGTTATGCTCCTGATCTGTTTACGGTATGACACTTCCATCCATTTTAAACATTTCCTTTGACGTCTAGCTGACAATAAATAATGGTATTTTTTTAAATTGTTAACACGAAAAGTGAACCATAATCAATCGGGAGGGAATGACAAACAATATTGTTGGGTAATATTCAAATCCCACGATCTCCATTTTTTGGAATCAATTGGGGAAGGCGTATGGTCCTTGAAGTCATAGGGTTTTAAAGAGACTAGACGTCATTGTGTTGATGGTTGGAGAGAATCACATAGCCATGGAAACACCCTCATACACACCTTTCAAGAAATGGAGAAATTGACACCTGTACTAAGACAATGGGTCACACACGTTGTAAATAATAAGCAGAAACATGCTTCTACTTCATATGAAAATGTCCATAACCTTATCATTTTTTCCAAACTTAATCAATGAAGATAAGTCTCAAAGTGCAATCAGTATGTAAACCAGTAACAAGTTGGAGAAAATAATCACCCCCACCAAAAAAGACAGTTTTGTATCAATTAGGTTGAGTCAATCGAGAAAGAAGACAAAGCGAAGAAGTGCCAAGAAGAATGACAGGTTTAGATCCTCTTTCGCTTTTCTCTGGCCACTGGCCTTATCCATGCCAACACTTTTTAAAGTGCTCCCAAATGATAGCAACCTAGACATCTCTTTCTTTGTTAACTCGATTCCTCCCTAAGATGACTAACTAATTAAGCATCCAGTTGATGTTTTATTTACTCTTATTCTATGGTTACATGTATATTCCCATTTTGCATCATTAGTTGTTTGTTGTTTTTTATTCTTGCTGTTTAGACCTTAAAGTACAAGTAAAGAAGACTACATATTAGAATATATTTAGAATTATGAGGTTAATATGAAACAAAATTTAATTTTTTGTAAGTTTATTTCAACTTTGTTGATTTATTGTTTTAAAGTTGTCAATGGTTTGAGGTCTCATCACTGCTTTATGTGATGTGTGTAAGTAAGTCATGTTTATAAATTGATCTTCATTTAAATTTTCTTTAAATGATTCAGGTTAAGTTCCCTAATGGTTTCCCCCCACCTCCATCTCGAAGTGATCAGTATGCTATTTTTTATATATTCCCTTTTAATTGTGCTTTCTGGGGGGATTTTTAAAGTATATATTTTTTTTCAAAAAAAAACATTTGTCTAAATGTGTTATCTATTAATCTTATGTGCACTACTTTGGTTGCTATAGAAAAAAGAGAGAAACTTATGAAGCTGGAACCACAACTAAAGAGTCTACTCCCAGGCTTATAATGCCAAATTAGAAGGCAACTCTAGAATCTCAGGTGGCCTCTTGGACTATTTTTTTAACCATTTGTCTCTCATGTTTTGAGAATTTGACTAAGTGAGGCGTTTATGTCATTATGATAAATTCAATTGAGGCAATCGGGAAAATACTTGGTCAATCTGCAAATAAAAAAAGAAAGAAGACAAATGGAAGAAGTGCCAAGAAGAATAAGAGGTGAATAAGCTTTTTTCAATTTTTTTTTTGTGTTTTTACCTTCTCCAAATAGATGGCACCAACGACATTAGTGCAAAGATTGACTTGCCTTGGACAAAATTGGGGCTTTCATCGAACGATGTTGATCGAGGTGGCTGGGTAGCAGCACCCCCGATGGTGGCAGCATGGGGGTATTAATTCCTAGACCTATGGAACTTTTTTCATTTTATTCCATTTTTTTTCAATTTCATGCTATCCTCTTTTTGTTAAATTTTGTAGTTGTTTTAATTAGTAACTTTTTGTTCAAGAGAAATGTTGGTGAAACATTGTATTCCTTCAATCTGTTATTAAATATCATCTCAAAAACATTTTTCAACTTTACTTGTGGTGATTTTTAGCTATCATAATTATATTTTTTTAAAATGGAAAGTGTAAAATTTTAGCATGCTTTGCATTAACTTGCAAGTTATGAAAAATGTACAAGTGGATATGTTACCATTTATGAGCATGTCATACTTTTTTTGGTCCTAACAAGCATTGTTCATATAACATAAGATGTAAATGTTATTTTTTAAATAGTTCAATGCATAGTTATGGATTGATCTTCCATGGGCATACAACAGCTTTGTATGATCGGTACATGTGTTGGGAGATGAAAGTGTCGATGCTATAGAACTTTTGTACGGAGTATATAGTTCTCATTTACTTATACGTTTTTGGTTCTTGAGTTGTGGAAAGCATAAGGGTGATGTACAATGGTTTCTTAGACAATTGCAATTTGTTATTGTACTTTGGAGTCAACTTAGGTTACCAACTTCAAGGTTTTCACTCAAGAAATGAAGTGAGAGGAATCCAAGGTACGGTTATTACAATTGGCCTTTTTAATAGTTGTTTCTTGAAGAGAAAGTTTACATCTTGCAGGTTTCAAATGTTTGGAAGTGAACAAAGTGAGAAAGTCCAGTTATTGCAGACACTATTGCCCGTAGCTAGCTTTGGAATGCTCTTTGACTTAATTTTATAATTATAACTAAGGGTATTAGGTTTCCATGTCCTTTTCTTTTTGAGATTTTATCCTCTTTGCACTCCCCCAATTTTTTCAATTGGCTTTCTATTCTATTGTCTCGATTTGTAAATTTATTTATTACTTATAGTAGTAACAAATTTAAAAAAAGTTTTACGTATACTTTTGTTATAAAGTGTTTATTCTTTATATTTTGAAGCAAATTAGTTGTCATGCATGACATGGGTCAGTCTCCATTACGTGTCAGATTACTTTTAAAATCTCACTCTTTAATTGTTTTCAATATTAAAAGGTTGTCTCGCGTGTAAAAATTTTGCAAGAATTGAAGATCTTGAGTTACGATGATCAAAATAATCCCCTAAATCAGAATTCAAATGTGGTGTATAATAAAGTTAATCAAAATTTCTAACTATTGTCCAATTCATTTAAAAATAATTTGAACCAATTATTTGTGACGTGACTTATTTGAACCAATTTTAATCATATGAAACATGACTTAATTATATACTCTCTTCGTCTCTAAGTATTTGCCCACTTTTGATTTTTTTCAGTTAAAATTGGTAAACTTTGACTTCAAATTAAATAAAAATGATATTAGATATTGATACAAAAGGAGTTTTATTAGATTATTATATCAAATATTTTCAAAATATTATTTTATTTAATTAAAATACAATAAATATTTTATTTAATTATAGGTCAAAGATTGAAAATAATTAACCGAAAAAAGTCAAAACTGGACAAATACTCAGAGACATCTAAAGTCTTTCCAAAAGTATAGATTTAAAAAAGGTAATTTGAGGTGTTCATTTTTAAATTTATATATATAAACTTTCATTACCAAACATTAATTGCTAAATTATTTATTTTACTTTGATTTTAAAGTTTATAATCTTAAAGAACGCATTACATATATTTTCATTAATTCATCAAAAATATTATATACAAAATAATTTAGAGAAGCGACAAAAATTTTGTTCAACCCCGTGCGTTGCACAGGTTAAATACTAGTAAGTATAAATTTTAATGTCGTTTTGACTCCATTTTTATGGCGGTTAATCGGGGGACTAAACTAGACATTATTTTCATTTAACAAGTATCATCTCGATAATTAATTAATTTTAGGGACTAGTTTCGAAAATACATAGTTATTGAGTACAATTTTAAGAAATTAATCTAAGAAAAATATAAGATAATTCTAAGAATGACTATGTCAATTAATGTACTTGAGAGTATTCTTATGAAATGGTAGATTTTTGGAAGTAACCGTGTGAATTTTGCAAGAAGTTAATAATAGTCTATTCATACTCTCTCCGTCTTTGAATATTTGTCCACTTTTACTCTTTTTTGGTCAAAATTGGTAAACGTTGACCTGAAATTAAATAAAAAATGATATTAGATATTGATACAAAAAGTTTTATTAGATCTATTATATCAAATATTTTCAAAATATTATTTTATCTAAATAATATAAAATATATATTTTATTTAACTATAGATCAAAGGTTGAAAATGATTGAACGAAAACAGTCAAAACTGGACAAATACTCCGGAACGGAGGTAGTATATAATCGAGTCAATAGCATTAAGAGCATGTTCTTTAGAACTTGAACTCTCCGAAACTTCTAGTTTCTTACCATTCTTCTAGTTCTAGTTTCTTACAGTTCTTCTAGTTCCTTTTAGTTTTTTCTCGTTTCTTCTAGTTCCCTCCAGTTTTTTCCAGTTTCTTCTATTTTCTTCAAGCTATTTTTATTTTCTTCAAACTCTTTCTACTTTATGACAAATCACTCTAAAAACAATATATTATTATTACTATTATTATTATTATTACTATTATTATTATTATTATTATTATTATTATTATTATTATTATTATTATGTTCATAAGTATAGTTTATAAATTGTTTCATTTTTTTCATCTCACTATTTTTATGATTCACACTCATTATTATTTTTTCTTCAACTTTTTGATATGAAAAATACCATTTTTTGTATACTAATCTACATGATAAAATAGGAAAACATTAGTATTTTAAACTATTTAAAAAATTATGAATAAAATAGTTGCATAGAATGTTTTTTTAAGTGTTAAGTATTTAACATTTAGATATTTATGCTAATTTTATATTCTAATTAATTATTTTTTTCAAAAATAGTTTTTTTTATATGAAAAATAACAATATTTTTTTATCTTAATGACATTCATTAGATATCATATTATAAAAGCGTTAATAATGATGAAAAAAACTAGTGATAATTATGACCAGTGATCTTGAATACAATGAACAAACTAGCTACGTTGATCAGTTTTTCATCTTCTCATGGTGTATGACTAGTCTGTTTTGTATGTTGGAAAGGGGTATAAGTTATACCCATCAGATTATATTCAAATTTAACTTGCTATTATAACATTTGAATTATTTTAAAAGCTGAATGGTACTGAAATACAAAATATTTAATTTTATTCACATTTATTTAATTTTTGATGTGTAAAAAAAGTATGGGCTTAGTTAATTGTATAAAAATAATAGAGATTGCTCAATAAAATACAATTTTGTACTCCGTATAAGACTAGCGGTAGTGCCTCACGGCACCGCAAGCGTGATCCTAGTTGGCATGCCAAGTGGAATGCGTGACCGCTCGTACACCGCCCCTCCCCTTCCGTTACTCACTCGCGTGAAGGAAGTCGTGAGAATGGTCGCGGTAACTTCTGTTTTTTTTCATATATTGAAATGTCTATTTTGTTCATAACTTTGTGTACCTATGTCATTACTTTACAATTAATATACCGTTCGAAATACTTTTGTAAGATTTATCCAATGACACTAATATTACATATATAATTTTGAAGTTATGTCACACTTATATTTTCGTCCAAACACTTTTAAATTGAACGAAACGTGTTTTATTATTAGGTTTTTGAAACAAAACACATTTTAAAATTTAATTATGCCATCATATTTTTTCCCCTTTTAAATTAAACTAACTTTTTTTTTCATTTTTTGTAAAGTGTTTGTTAATACTTACTTCCTTCGTCCCAAATTATAATGCATGTTCATTATTTCGTTAGTAATTTGATAAAATAAAGTACTATTGTCACTACTAGTTTTGTAAATCTTTTGATGTAGTATTTTAATATGTAATTTTTATTTTTTAACTATATACCATTTCTCATATAAAATGATTTGAAAATAATTTCAGTCAAACATCGTAAATCGAAACAGACGTTATAAAATGGGACAGAGGGAGTATAATGTATTTATACGATTTTTATATAAAAAAAATTTAGAGTGATAATCCTATTTTTAGTGGTACGATAGAGTATTTTATACGAGGCATTCTTATTTATCCACACGAGTTCCAATATCCAATAGTAATACTATATTAGGTATTTTAAACATATATTAGTGCTTTGACGTTACTTCTCCCTTTTGTTTTTTTGGTTTTTCCTTGAGCGTGGTTCAAAATATAGTATAAAAATGTAAATAAATAAAATACGGCAATAAATCAAACAAATTCTACATAAATAAAAAAACTAAAATATTAAAAAAATTTAAAATAAATTCTGAAATAAAAAAATGGAAAAATGAATAAGTTTTTATTCTTTTTTAAAAGATAGTATTTAATTTATATAGAAATAGATAAATATTATATAAAAAGTAAGAGTGTAATCATTACAATGGAAGCGAGTACGGGTGTGAAAGTGAAATGAGTAACGGGTGTGAAAGTGAAATGAGTATGATCGTGAGTGCAATTAACGATGTTATGACGCCAAATAAGTGAAATAACTACTAACGTGGAGTGAATGATGGCGGAGCACAACAAATAACTAAGGGGAGTAAGGGGTGTATAAAAGAAAAATAGACAATCACGTGTGATGTGAAATTTCAAAAGTTGAAAATTGCCTTAATCAAATGGATTATGAATTAGGGGGAAAAAAAGAAAAAACAAAAAAGATTTGATATTCACTGATTCACGTGAAAAGGTTAGGGCCGGCTAACGTTTTTCTCGCTCCCGTCAAAGGCTCAAACTAGTTTTAAATCTTTTAACACTTGATTTGATTCAAGAAATAAAAGAACGTTAAAAATA